TAAAGGACAGAAACCCAACCCATACTTGCTTAAGCCGTGAAGAGACTATATCATTGGGTAACTGGAAAGTCGAGAACTCAAAGGGCGTCCTCAGAAGTCAGTCTCAGTTCCTCCCCCTTTCTCTGGGTTGGCCTCCCCTGCAGCAGATTGTCCCCTCATGGTGACTCTTAGTCACCACCTCCTCGGAGCCTGGTCATCTCAGCCTGAGAAGCCTGCGTGCTTGGCTAGGATTGGCCCGCTGGGGACTGGGCTGCCTGACCTGTCCCTGTGGCTGAAAATGAGAAGCTGATCTCAGCCCAGGGATCTGGGGCCCACTCCGGGTTGGCGCTGCAGGTGGGGTCAGAGCTTGAAAGGGTGTGATTCCCCAAGGAAGCTCTGTGCAAGGAGAAGGGGAAAAGGCGCAGGATGAGTAGAAATGACAAATTTCTCTTGTAATATATTTCCTGTCAACATACATCTCACATCACAGTTTTTATACTGGCTTCATTTCTACACCGACGGAGGACTAAGGCTTATTTTGCCAGTCCTCATGCTGCACAGTAGGTTACTGCCAATGTTGCTATTACAAACTCTGTTCTAAAGAGCATCTTGGTGCTAAATCTCTGCCTATATTCTACAAAACTTCCTAATTATCTTAAATCAGTGCAAAACAGCTCATAAGGTTTACAAACTAGACAGTTTCAGGGCCCTAGGCAAAACTGCAAAATAAACCTTTCTGCATTCTCCCCCTTGTGCTACTACTTTGGTCTACCCCCACCCCCACCCTGCCCCGCTTCTTGGAGCTCTGTCCTCTGGCTGTAAAGGGCTCCCAGCTGACAGCTACAGCCAGAATACCCTCTCCCTGCTAACCACCCTCAGGCTTGCCCCAGACTACAAAATACCTTCTCCTTCCTTTAAACAAAATTCTCACTTAAAAAATAGGGCTTATCTCACTTAAGAGGAAAGCAAGGTAAGTATCTGGATAAAGGTGATGTAATTGACCTTTGTAAAGTATGGGCTGTGGTTGAGGAGAGGTGGCTTGGCTAGTCCTTTAAGTTCTCTGCTTACTCTTCCTCCACCTTACTGGTGACCAGAAACTTGCTCCCCTTATGAAAAAGGACACTATTTCTTTTTCTTTTCTTTTCTTTCTTTCTTTTTTTGAGAAAGAGTTTGGCTTTTTAGTCCAGGCTGGAGTGAAGTGGCACGATCTCGGCTCACTACAACTTCCGCCTCCCGGGTTCAAGTGATTCTTCTGCCTCAGCTTCCCAGCTGGGATGACAGGTGCCTGCCACCACTCCTGGCTAATTTTTGATATTTTTAGTGGAGATGGGGTTTCACCATGTTAGCCAGGCTGGTCTTGAACTCCTGACCTCAGGTGATCCACACCTCTCGGCCTCCCAAAGTGTTGGAATTATAGGCGTGAGCCACAGTGCCTGGCCGAGGCCACCATTTCTTACACTCTCCCCACTGTGCATGTGCGGTAGCCACTGTCCAAATGGGACAAAAGAGGTCGCAGCAAAAGTGAGCATGAACTAAAATCTTGTTCTGATTATAACTCCTGCAAATGACTGGTGAAGTTGGTAAATGCTGGAAACTTTCTCGGCCTGGGGCAAGAAATGGCCATGACATGTATACCTTCACGTGCTCATGTCCACAAGCTCATAGAAATGTAGGAGAGTGAGCGTGAATAACCCTAATTGTCTGGGCTATCCCCGTTCAGTAAACTATTGAATTTTACTTTGTCTTCCGGGGGTGTCTTCAAACGTTTTCCTGACCCTGGGGTGTGTCTGAGTCACTCAACTTCTTCTCAGGAAATCAGAAATCAGAAATAAATGCTTACGTGTTAAAAGCACTTTCTCAAGGACAGTTCTTCAGGTACTGAAAGTTTTCTGATCTTTCAGAGGAAATGCTGGTACCCATATTCCATCACTGATGTAGGAGACATTTAAGACAGGTGCATATGAGGTGCTGAGAAGAAAATAAGGTCCTACCCTGAAGGCTCCTGCTGTCTAATGGAGGAAATAAATGAAGAAATGCTACTTTATGAAAGCAAGCCAACCCTCATTACACCATATGTCCACTCCGGTGCATTTTGGCAGGTGCCTGAGACTAGGGCATGGGGGTGGGTCCTGGGTCCTGGGTCCTAGAGCCCTGGCTGCCTTTCATCTGCCTCCAGGACTGTTGGCTCATGTGGTTCTACAGAGCTAACTTTCCATTTCCTCCAAGGCAAATGAAAACTGCCTTGTGAACTTCTGTTTGAATTAATTTTGATATTTTGGTTGGAGGGATCATTATACTCAGTCATTTCTAATATTATGACTTCAGTTTTCATAGTTTTGGGTAAGGGAGTAGGGAGGAAGCCATTCTTGAATTGTATACTCTCTTTAAGCAGTCAAAGCCTATTTAGATCAACCTGATGTGATGCAACACAGGGCCACGCCACTCCCCTAGCTCTGCCCACACCCTTCATTTGATCTGCAACCCCCCCTTCCCACAGCTGCTAGTCATCCTGAATTACGTGGAGCCCTGCTGGTGGTGACAGTGTGCAACAAATAATGCAGTTATTTGTTTGTTTATTTTTTTTTACTGCTCTAGGGGAATATCTTTAGTACTGAGGTATGTAAGCCACCTTTTGTGCATAATAATTTTTAAAATCTCCATTTAGATAGGCAAAATAAAGCTGTCTTTTCTAGTCAGCTGCCCCATTCTGCCCGCCTCCTCACTCCCAGGAAAAGGCTTGGTGAACTGAGCCCTGGTGGACTTCAGCCCCACCAGGTTTTGGGCAGTGCACAGACCATACAACAAGGAGGCAGCCTTGTGCAGGGCCTTTGGTCTGAGGATTTTATTTTGGCTCTAGAGAGTACTATCACTTCTGTCTTAAAGTGGTGCTAAATATTAAAAGGATTTCTTTTTTGTGGGATTATACTTTTATTTTCTTCTGAATGCTTTATAAAATGCCAAAACAAGTATGCTTAATAACAGATTTTTAAAACCCACAAAAGTAAAACATGTAGATCTTAATGTGGCTAATTTTGATTTTAAGTTCTGCTTTCCCCCCTGTAATTTCCATTTTTATGTTTTAAAGGATAAGTAGTCACACTTCCTCATCTCATTCTTCCCGTTCCTGCATGCCCTCTCCCCACTCCAAATAAAATTCTTGGGAAAGGAAAACAACTTCACATCAAGTTGAGATGCCTTTTTTTTTTTTTTTTTTTTTTTTTTTTTTACTTTTAGAGACAGGATCTGTTGTCCAGTCTGGAGTGCAATGATGTAATAATAGTAATCGAAGCTTCAAACTCTTGGGTTCAAGCAAGCCTTCTGCCTTTACCCCCAGAGCCGCTAGGACTACAAGCCTACACCACCATGCCCAGCTAACTTTGTTATTGATATATATACCCAGGCTGGTCTTGAACTCTTGGCCTCAAGCAATCCTTCTGCCTTGGCTTCCCAAAGCACTGGGATTGCAGGTGTGAGCCAGCAGGCTTGCCTCAGGTTGAGATTTTAATGCAGCATCCTAGGACACTTTCTATACTCCACACCTATTTTGAAATGAAACCACAAAGTTTCCATACAGCCAGCCCATGAAAATACTCACACATGGTGCTTCTGGCTTGACGTGTGCTGGGATGGTTGGAGGTGGAGGAACCTTCACACAGAGGGACCTTCACCTGGCCCAACTCCTTAGTGCTATTGATTGAGTGACGTCCAAATCCTAAAGGTCTGTTCCCTTCGGGAAATATTTGTGCTGTGCCCAAAGTGCTTTCTGGGGCTCAGGATTTGTTAACCTGATGGTTGGTCATTCCTGGGGACTCCTACCATCGAGCCAGCCATAAAACAAAGTTAAACCATCGAGTATGCAGAAGAGACAAAGGCAAGAAGTCAGCTCCTGTGGGACAATCACAGCAAGCTGTGATCAGGGCATGTTTCCATTATCTCTAAACCCGGGAACGGGTCATGTGAAATTCAGGCTCAGGGCAGGCGGGAGGGCGACCCGGGATGGGCTGGCCCGTACTGGGCCCTGAATGCGCTTTTGTTCGGTGAATGCAAGAGCCGCTGGGCGTGGCGGCTTTCACGGCCCCTCAGCTGTGACAGTTCCTCTGGGGCGCCGCCGCCTCCCCCTGTCTGGAGAAAGGCGTTAGGGGTGTGAGAAGCATCCCTGGGCAGGGTTGGGGAGAGATGCTGGTGAGAACCTGGGACGCCCTGTGGGCCCGCGGCCAGCCTGCTTTACAGAACGATTGGGATGCGAACACGGTTGCCTGAGCCCCGGATTATTCTGCGAATCTGTAAACACAGATTTAGACACACGTGGTGGACGTGTCCTCCCCGGTAACAGGGAGTGTTTCCAGAGAGCAGCTCTTTGTAGCCCTGAGAAGGACGCCTGCGAGTTTTTGGAGCCTGGGAGACAGCGAGGGGTCTGATTCAGGGGTGCCTGTGGGAAGGGGAGGGCTGGGTCGTCCCAAAACCCCCTGACTGTCCTGGACCCCCGACGCTTCGCACTCTCCGGATCTCACTGCCGGGGCCGGGCGCGGGGCGGGGATGCGCTGGGCGGAAAAACTCACGTTGGGGTGAGACTCGGTATCGCGGTTCCGGTGGAGAGTAAACGGGCGGGGATGGGGAGCAGGTGCGGTAAAAAGCGCCGGGGGCGGGGGCACCCGGCAGTCGCTCAGGGGAGAAGCGGGGTACAATGTGGCAATTAAAGATACGTAGTCAGAGGAACCAGTCCTCAAAGACAGAGGGGATTCAATTTACCAGGATTCCGTTGAAGTGGGGAGCTCGTCTTTCTGGGAAGAAAGTTTAAAAAAAAAAAAAAAAAGTGGGGAGGGTGGAGCAGTGGGTGCGGCGAGTGGACCCCCAGCCGGTGCTCGCGCGCGCGGGGTGTCCCCAGGACGCCCCCCCCCCCAACCCGCCACCTCCGCCCCAGGCGCCGGGCCTGCTCCCTCCCCTCGCGCGGCCCCTCCCCCGCGTCCTCTGCCCACCGCGCGGGCCTGAGCCGCGGAGCCGGGACGCGAGCGCGGAACGCTGGGCGCAGGCGGCGGCGGGGCCGAGGCGCCTGCGGGGCTGGCGATGGCGCGGACGGCGGGAGAGAGGGGCCGGGGCCGGGCCGGGTGGTGCGGGCGGCACCCGCGCTGCGGGCGGGGCGTGCTCCTCGCCTTCGCCGCGTGGACCGCGGGCTGGGTGCTGGCGGCCGCGCTGCTGCTCCGCGCGCACCCGAGCGTCCTCTCCGAGCGCTGCACAGACGAGAAGAGCCGGCGCATCCTGGCCGCGCTGGTAGGTCCCGCCGCCGCTCTGCCCCGCGCCGCGCGTCCCGGGAGTGGGGATAGCACCGGTCCCGGGCCCCAGCCTCCCCCGGGGACTCGGGTGGCGGTGGCACCAGCCGGGTGTGTGGGGTCCCGACACAGGCGTGGAATGCCAGAGCGCACGCCCTGCTTCCCAGAATGGGAACGCAGCCGGGAGTGCTCCGCGGGCGCGCGGGGGGTGTCTCTCTACCCTTTTCGCCAGAATCCGCCCTTCTTCCCCAGGCAGCCTTTGCGTCCTACTCTCGCCACCCCTGAGCCCGAGCTCCAGAAGAAAGTTTGCAGGTCTGATCCGAGTGTCCAGGTCTGCTTTAGCCTCCGGGCAGCCCGCTAGGTGCCCGCGTCCAGTGTCGGGCGGCAGAGCTCCGGGCACGAGTCAGTGGTTCGTGATCGGAGGTGCCACGCCTCTGTCTCTGGGGTCCTCAGCGCTCCAGCCCAGCCCGCGGTGTGTGATTCCACCCTGGGCTGCCAGATCACCCCCCGCCCCCCACCTTGCCAAGCCCACGCGCAGGGTTGGTCCGGCCTCTGCCTCGGTGCGCTCCAGAGCCCAGGCTGTCCGCGGTCTCGGTCTGTGGGAACTGACGCTGCGTGCTCGCGGGCTGGCAGAGCGCTCTGCGGAGGCGGCTCGGACTCTGCAGATCCCGGGTCCTGGGGCCGAATGCTCACATCCAGCAGCTCCTCAGCTGAGCGGGAGAATTAAGGAGAGAAAGAAACATTTGACATTTTACAGACTGCTGCGTGCGCTGGGCTCAGATCCTGTGAATGAAATGCTCATCTTTAGTTGATTGGAAAGGTGGCTAGCAGTCCTCTCCTGCGCAAAGGAGACTTGAATAAAGATGGGAGTCCCCTAAATCCAGACAGGGGAAGATGGTAGCAACTACTCTAACATGACTTCTTAAGCGATTATTCACTTTCTAAAATAGGGACTATCTAAGCATTTGATTTGAAAAGTGATCTATTTTCTAAAACATCTTCAAGAAACACATGGGCAGTTTCAGTTCAATTGCTTACATCTGCGTGGGCCTTTTGAGATTGTAGATTTTCAACATTTTCAAAATGTGGGATCACAAAGGTTTTTAAAGTAAATGATTGTTTAAGTGAGATTGGAAATATTTTTTAAATGAGCCAGGTATACTAGCTAAAACAAGTTATGCTCCCTAATTCACTCTGATGTGTGTGTCATCGTGAATTGAACATATGTAGTTGAGACACTTACAGATTCTTTCCACTGACCCCCTTCTACTGTTACATGGTTTTTTTTTTAATCAGGTTTGTTTATTTATTTATTTTTGAGACAGAGTTTAACTTTTGTTGCCCAGGCTGGAGTGCCATGGCACGATCTCAGCTCACTGTGACCTCCACCTTCCCGGTTCAATTGATTCTCCTGCCTCAGTCTCCCAAGTAGCTGGGATTACAGGCATGCACCACCACTCCCAGCTAATTTTGTATTTTTAGTAGAGATGGGGTTTCTCAAAAAGTTGGTCAGGCTGGTCCTGAACTTCCGACCTCAGGAGATCCGCCTGCCTCACCCTCCCAAAGTTCTGGGATTACAGTCATGAGCCACCGCACTTGGCCAGTTCTAACAAGTTTTAAGTCGCAAGAGCTCACTGATTTTTCTTAGTAACCCATAAAAATCTTTTTCACTTATAAATTTCCCCCCCTGGTTTTCTTGTCTTGGGGGAAGGGAGTGCTGATAGACTAATTATAGCAAACTAACATTGACGGTCTGGCTGAAGTGGAATACCTATTTACAAATTTAATATAGTAATCCGTTAGATTAAGATAAAAAACGAATGCCATTTTTCATTTCTTTACCTTTGGTTAAGTGAGGAAAGGCCTAGTGGAAATTAAATCATCTTACTATAATTTAAGTAATTGCTAATCATAACTTTACCAGCATTCCAGGGTGGTAAATTAAAACCAGTTCTGTTTAGAGGTTTTACCAATGTATCTTCAGCGGCAGCCATATGGAATCTTTTCTAGTCAGACATAAAGCTGGAGAGATTGGTTCAGGCCCTGAAGGCCCTCAATCTTTCCTACAGCCACAAGAACGGTGTCAGAGGCCACACCCATCTCTCTAGGTATTGATGTGGTGCTGTCTGGTGAACTGGTTTTTGGGGGAGCAGCCTTTGCCCACAGGCCCTGTTTGAGTTCCTGACTCCTGACAGTCTCAGAACTCTCCCCCTGCCCCTCTTCCTGCCGCTTCCCTTTCTATGGTTTTCATCCTGAATATTTTGATGCGAGACCCACACAGGACCCTGGCTCAAGTTTTACCCAGGACACTCTGAGTTAGGACAGGGTTTAAATACAAGCCCAATCTTCACAATCCCGACTCTGCCTGGCTGAGTTGCAAAGTAGAGGTTGGCATTGTGGCTTTCAAGGACTTGAGCTGAATTGAGCTTCTGTCTCTGCTCCCCTGGCACTTCCCGATTCATTCTGCCTGGCTTTTATCCGTAATAATAAAACTGGTTGTTATTTTCCTGACGGGCCTCCAGACCCTCATTAGCTTTCACTCTGAATACCGGAGCATAGAAGAAACCACTTTGCCAGCTGAGCTGAAGGGAGACTTTCTGGCAGGACCCAGGGAGTTGTAGTGGGTTCCCCGCCCCCCAGTAGCCTCGGCTGCCAGTGTTCCCAGGCTCCCGCCTGGCAAGGGGCACTGCTGGCCTGCCAGGAGTGGACCCACCTGTAGGATAAAGGAATCACAGGAAAAAGCTTAGAGGCGAGAGAGGGGATGGGGGTCAGGGGTCTTCACGTTCTCCCCAAGCCCACACCCCACCTCCCTAGGGAGTCGACCACTTCCCACAAGTTCTTAGCAGAGCCAACCTGAATTGTTCCAAAGGATTGAGCCCTGGAGTTTCCAGCTTGGATTATTCCTGGTCAGACCTTAAGGCTCCCCTTAATGTTAGCTTTAAGAGGAACAGCACACTGTGAAATAGGCGCACTCAGGTCTCTGGAGCCCTGCGTTTCTAGTGGGCTGTGTCAGGAGGCCGAGCCAGCTGGGGAGCTAGCTTGGTGCTGGGTCATTGATACACCTGGCTTCTCATTCATTCAACAGGCTGAGCTCTTCACACTGAAGCAGAAGATGCAGGCTGCTGCCTGTTGACTCTTCCTCAGGGAAGGCACCATGTGAATCGTTTCACGGGTCTTATTTCACTGAGTTCCCTCAACAACCTCTATGAAATATTTGCTTTCAGTATCCCCGTTTCATAGATAGCAAAACTGAGCCTCAAGTAGGAGAAGTGATTTGCCCTGCTTCACACAGTTAATATGGTGAGGAGCCAGGATATGACCCTGGATAGTCTGATGGTAGCGATGACATGACAGTGGTTTCTGTAATAATGGAAACTCTACATAACAACTCATATACTTAACCCTTCCATACCATGTCATTCTTAAGGCAGGTCAAAGATATTCTCACAGACTGATATTCTGAAGGCTTAACTGGCTTTTTTGGCTAGTGAGGTCTTGATGGAATTTCACAGTAGCTGTCTACATCAGAGATTCATTTTTAATAGGGCAGGCTTACGTTTCTTTGCTGCTGTGATAGAAACTGTCAAGGTCCCAACGGGACTACAGCATCCAGGGCACATACCCAGAGAGTTTTTCAGCAGTGAATGATTGCCTGAGTGCTCATCCACATTCCTAAAAGCAGGGAGGGGTTACAGAGTGGACCAGCTGACTGTGCTGAGATTCTGCAATGCACAGCACAGCTGCTTAGGGAAACACTACCACTGTCAAGTATGAATGTTGCTAACTGCAGAGGAACTTCATGCTCCTTAAAAACAAACACACAAAAGAAAACCCCTCAGACATGACCTTGGAGACCTTATCAGCAGTTTTCTAGACTAGAGTGCACAGGTTTTGTTTTTGCCTGAGAACCATGACATAAATTAGAGAGATACTAAGCAACAATTGCAAAGAGTGCTTCTCACAAAAGCGGGACGGATGTAATGGGAATGTGCATCTGTGTGGATATTTTCACATCGGTAAGAAGCACAAATCCACTGCAAACGTAATTAATTCTAAAAGCACGCCAGAGTTAGCTGCAATAAGACTTTAACTTGTTTCTTCAGCTTATTTTCAACTCCAATACCTGTGGATTTTATATGCATACACATCTGGGTACAGAAGTGTACCTGTCTTTAAACTGGCCTTAGGACCTCCTCCTATGCACAGAGGAGTCTGAGAAAAACTTTTTTTTTTAAGGTGGAGTCTTGCTTTGTTGCCCAGGCTGGAGTGCAGTGGAGTGATCTCAGCTCACTGCAACCTCCACCTCCTGGGTTCAAGTGATTATCCTGCCTTCCGAGTAGATGGGACTATAGGCCCATGCCACCATGCCTGGCTAATTATTTGTATTTTTAGTAGAGAGGGGGTTTTACCATGTTAGCCAGGATGGTCTCAATCTTCTGACTTTGTGATCCACCCACCTCGGCCTCCCAAAATGTTAGGATTACAGGTGTGAGCCACTGCGCCTGGCCTAAAGACTGATTTTTAAAATGGACCTACATAAACTACTTCTATTGAGTTCAACAACAACAACAACAAAACCTACCTCCTTCAACAGGACAAGGACATGCTGCTAATAAAATATCCCACTATCATCTTTAACATGATGAAAGTTTTTGGGGTTTTTTGTTTTTCTTGAGACAGGGTCTTCCTCCGTCACCTTGGCTGGAGTGCAGTGGTGCAAACAGGACTCACTGTGACCTCTACTTCCCAGGCCAGTCAGTCCTCCTGTCTCCATCTCTCAAGTAGCTGAGACTATAAGCATGGCTCAGCTAATTAATTTTTTATTTTTGTAGAGTCGGGGGTCTTGCCATGTTGCCCATCCAGACTGGTCTTGAATTCCTGGGCTCAAGTGATCCTCCTTCCTCAGCCTCCCAAACTGCTGGGCTTACAGGCATGATCCACGTGTCTGGCCTGATGACGATTTTAAATTCAAACTTGTAATTTGTACATTGAGTTGACCAT